GCCTGATAAGGCCTATCCGCGCAAGCTCAAACAGGAATGCGTGAATTCCTTCATCCCTCACCTCCCTGTGATCTAGGCGGATCGTTCCCCATTTTGAAGGCACGGTTCCTACGTAGGCTTTAGGATCTCCAATCACAACAGCTATCCCTTCACACTGGCTTAAGGTGCGGCGAGTGCGACGGTTGAAACGTGGCTGTATGCCAACGGCTTCCATCCTCGGCTCATCGAGCACCTGCGAAAGAAGAGAGCTACTTTGAAGACCCACTAGTTCGGTGAGCCACGTCCAACGATCGGGATGCGGGCCCTTTCCTGCCAACAGCGCCGTGGCTAGACTTGTGAGGGGTACGTCTTGGCTAAGGTGCCCATTACACGCATAAGCCTTCACAGCGACCCCACTCAGCTTTTCTATCTTAGATATCATATCCAAGGCAAGCTTTGACGAAACCTCCGGGCAACCTGCCACCAGAACAACTGGCACCTTAGAGCCTTCTGGATCTCGCAACACAAAGCCTCCTGAGGTCCAACGAACCTGATACCCTAGGCTCACAAGCTGATGTAAAGCAACAATCGGAGCAGCTTTCTGCTGACTCAACGACGCTGGCTCTGCTAGCAGGACGCCTGTGCTGGCGATCCGAAGATTGTTTGTTTCCCCTGAAGCTAAATGCACTACCACTGGGGCGGCAGCTTCCCATTCTTGCAGACTAATGGCTTGTCGAAGTGAGGTTGTGGCACCACCGTCCAACAAACCCAAAACGGCGTCTCTAGATTCTTCGGCTTTAACAGCACACAGCTTGGATATCCTCAAAGACTTAATGGCATCAATGGCTTCCTTCACCAAATCATTTGAGGGCCCTGTCGCTGCAGCTGGTGCGCCCTCAGACTGCGAGGCCTGAGCTTCCGAACCCTCAGGAACCTCAACTCCACCAACCTTGCGAACTCTCTTCCGGGGACCCCGCTTAGGTTCAGCCTTAGCTGAGGCCTCTACACCCGCCTTATGGTCAGCGCTGCCAGCGGCAGTGGGTGGGCCTCTCCCTAGCACTGGGCACGCATTCCTCCAGTGCTCAGTGGATGAACACTCAAAGCACCTACCACTACCATCCTCAACAACACTAAGATCGTGATTGTATTGGCATGACCGTCCGGCGTTACACCCCTTTGCGGAACCCCAAAACTGACAGACTCGGCGATTGCTTTCAGGCTGGGCATCAGAAGGCTTGCCTTTAAGTCCTTTACCTTTACCTGCATCCTTGCCTCCTGTATTGTTCGCGCCCTTTCCTTTCCTGTGTTCTGGCTTCTCCTCCTTTCCTTCCTCCTCAGTGGCCTTGGCTCTCCTTACCCGCTGTCTCTTCTCTTCCTGAGAGAGCGCCTGAGCGCTCACCGCGAGCAGCTCCATCTCGGCATGAACCTGCCTCCTGAACTTTTCAACCTTCTCATGTGTTGGCACGTGATCTAAAGAGAGCTCAAGCTTCAGCACACTAAGCCTGAAAGCCAACTCCCTATAAGTGCTCGAACTCACGATTCCAGACACGATGCTCTCAACAGCCCTGAGCAGGAGTGAAGGATCGGGGAGGGAAACCTTGAGCTGCTCCGCACGCGATCTCCATCTTGAGTACTTCCTCAATTTCTCCAATGCTTCCGCCGGGTTCTGTGCAGTCCCTGGCTGAGTCAAGAAGTTCAACAGTGTCGCGCGCTCAGCAGTTCCTCCTGGCTGCCCTGCAACCATCACCCTATACAAAACATTCACCGAATTGAGAACCCTAGAAGCTAGGATGTCCTGTCTCAAGTTCTGTGGAAGCGAGGCCAACAGCATCGATGTTACTCGTTGCTCAAGCCGGGCATACTGCGGCTGGGAAAGCTCAGATCCTAAGGTTACTTCAATTTGTGCTCGGTGTAGCGGGGTAGCATTAAGCCACTGTGCATAGAAAGCTTCAGCCCTATCCTTAACCTTGACCCACCAAAGACCCGCTCCAGTACTAATGTCCCCAACTATAGGACCCACTAATGTTATCCAATCGCCCACTGCAATCGGTGCCTCATCAGTTCTCAGCTCCGAGAGCTGTGGAAGATCATGCCAGCGCTGCCATTGAGGCGAGTACCGAAGCTCCTGACGGCGGATTTCAGACGTTGGAGTTGGGGTTAAAGGTGGAGGCAACGGAGGCACCGGAGTACCACCTGGCGTGCGATCTACCCTAAACCCTATCTCTTGTCTCACCCCAAAGTCAGGTCCTAAACCACTAGGAGGCGGGGGTGGTACCGGGCTTGAGGAGGTATTAGGCACAACCGACTGCTCATCATGATGACGCGGGAAGGCTGTCTGATGTGACACCAGATAATTCGAATCCCTATCATAGCCCTGAGTGCTATACAATCCTGGAACCGACTGCTCAACAGGATACTGCGGATAAGGCATCGAAGGTACCTGGGGCAGAAATGAACCACCCGAACCAATGCCAAAACCCTGAGTGCATTGCATTCCTGGAAACGACTGCTCAACAGGATGGGGCGTAGGGATCGGAGCTACGTGGTGGAGTGGAGGACCAACTAACCCACTATAACCCTGAGTGCATTGCATTGCTGGAGCCGCTTGCTCAACATGATGTGACATCGAAGCTGGTCGGTACTGCGGAGGGCCACCTAAGCCTACAAACTCAACTAAACCCTTAGGCAACCCACTAAGGTCTTCAGGAATCTGCGGCGGCGTAAAGAAGCCTGATCCTCCTTGTACCGGCTCCGGCACACTCTGCTGCACTTGGTGAAGCTGCTGTGCGGGGCAAGTCCAACCGTGCCCTTCAACAGGAAGCGCTGGCCCCCGAATCCAGGAAGGCCCTGGGAGACTTGCCGAAGATTGAGGTGCTTGGGGCTGAACAGGAGGAGGAGGTGGTTGATTTAGCACGCTAGGAAGTAAAGTCCAAACTCCCTGTGCATTGAGGGCAAGCTGCCGGTAACCACCATCAACATACACCCATTTTCCAAGACCACCCACACTATTATCATTGTGTTCATTACTCACACTTGTTAACCCTGGGGGATCGCAGAAACTTGTCTGTACAACGGACGGGTTTCCATCCACATTTTCAGCATCTACTCCTACAGCTCTACCAGCACCACCTACCGCCGACTTCATCGACACTGAGGTTCCCGTATTCTGACCAGCAGCGGACTTCATTGACACCGAAGCTCCTGAGTTTCTTTCCGCCACTAGCGCATCTTCAAGGTCCTTGACCCGTTGCAGGAGCGCTGCAACGGTAGCCTGGCTAGGGTCCCTGACGTCAGAAGCTCTGCCTGCAGTAGAAGCTCTTTGCGAGAACATCTCCCCATCCAAACTCCTAACCTTTGTAGACTCCTGCTCGCGAAACGGAGTGTCACCCCCATCCGAACCAATCATGAAGTACTGAGCTCCTTGATGGTCCGGCTGTGTTGGTCCCGTCGGGGATTCCGTCACCTGAAGGGCATAGCTCCTGACTTCCACTTTCGTAGTCGTCTCACCACGCTCCAGGATCGACGCCTTGCCACTGGATCCCGGAGAGCTCGCTCCGAGACCCCGGTGCAAGAGTCTTGACTCACTTCTATCATCAAGTTTCCCAGCATTTTGCCCAGAAGATGCCATGGCTGGCTCAGAGAAGTCATACGGTGGATGCACGTCCACATCATCATCTCTCTCAGTAGTGCTAGGTAAGTCGCGCGGTCGGGACTGGTTCAACTGAAATTCTGCTGTAGCCTTTTCAGACCAAAAAGGATTTGGTAGAGGCTTCGAAGAGGCTGGGGCCTCACCATCAATCCCAGTCTGACTGTTGGCTGCTCCCGCTGCATCTTGGTCCTCGTACGAAGGCTCAAGCTCATCTCCTGATTCAAGTGGGACAGGTGTGTCAGCTGCCGTAGCACCGCCACTAAGCCCACCAGGAGGCACAGAGCTCGACTTTCTCCTTCTAGAAGCAAGAGTGTCCATGGCAACAGGGCACACGAAGGCTTGGGCTCATAACCCTCGAGTACGAGGGCCAGCCAACTGTTTTAGCAGCAGAAGCGAAAGCGAATAAGATCTAACTTGGTACACTTCTCGATTTAAAAAACGTCTTCTGTACGTGCCTGACTGTCTTCCTTGCTGCAGGGGCCATGCACCTGCGGAGTCAAGCGTGTCATCCTTGCAGCAGGGGCAGGGACATACACATCTGCGCCCTAAACCCCCAAACCCTAAACTTTGAACTTAGAACTACCATGAACATTCAAGCACTTTCGGCCTCTGTCTCACACATCGAAGCTGTGAAGTATACGGTTTCATGCTCTTTAGTGATGTCCTGTGGGGTTTAGGGCTGAGATGCTTCGGAAAGCTTTCTTTTCTGTATTTATGGGTGTAAACGCTGGCAAGTCTCTTCTGGCTGTTGCTCTTGAAGGTGGAGAACCGAAGGCCCTATACCTCATCCTTACCCCATACCATTCTTCGAAGACCCTCTTTTTCACATCTGATGCTATTGCAATCCTTACACCTATTCCCTGGCAGTTACTCCCTAAACCGCAGACCCTAAACCTACTCTACAAATGCACAATGTTATGCCCCTCGGGAAACCGTAGTAGTCAGGGTGCTCTTGTTCAGAACGTCTTCCAGTTTTGTACAAAGACAGAAGAGTGAGACGAAAACAGTCTCCCGCTCCCCAAGCCGCATTGTTGTCCGCGAAGTCTAAGACTGAAGCACAACCCTCCGATCCCGTATGATACCCTGCGATATAGACTCTATGTAGTAGTAACCTGTAAATGGGGGTTTCCGAAAATCGGGGACCCTACTATAGCAGCCTAAATGGTAGGATCTTTATTATACGGACCCCAAATAAGGTACCCCTAATTTTCGGAAACTCCCAAATAGGAAGCCCAACCCTTCTCCAGCCCTGAGAGGCCCATGCCCCTTAAATCAGCAATATACCTTAAATTCTAAGGGGCTGAATATTTTGATTTAAGCTATATTCCTTAATTAAAGGGTATTGGGCTCTGAGAGGCCCTAGCTAGTCTGCCTCCTCTGCGGCCTGTGCTCGGAGTGCTTCCTTGCGCCCGTGAGCAGAAAGCGGCTCCAAAAGCGGCTGCAACCAAGACTGGCAATTGCATGGTTGCTTGGATTTTCATGGGTAGTTATAAGTGGAGTTCTAAGTAGGGTAACTATATAGTTACAATGCATATTAGGGGACTTATAACCCTACTTATGACTACCCATGAACCTCCAAGTGGGGTTTAGGGTTCATGGGCTCAGGATTAGCGATTGCGGGTGCTGGGCTTTGACTTGACTTTCTTGAACATTCCAGTCTGCGGGTCTGCAGGGGCTGTAGGATCTAGGAATAAGTCGAGAGGGACACTTCAGTTCTGTTGATTTGAAGCTATTGTTGAGTTAATGTTCCGTCACGGGCTTGTCGCAGAGCTGAAGTCTCCGACATCTCCCCTCACCCACTCTACTGCTTGCAAGGGTCCTTTGTGCTTGGGCTGGGGAAGCATCCGCTGCAAGTAAGAGCCCCTCGCTGTCTGTGTCGCTCGGTCGTCCCTTTCTTTCTCACCCTCACTGCCTTGTCTGCCCCCAGCATGCTTCCACCACAACCCTAAACCTTGATCCACTAAACCGCTCTTTGGCGACACGACTCCTCATGACAAAATTGTCAACAGAAAGTCGAGCCTCCCATTCAAGAGCCTCATCACAAGCCGTAAAGCAAGTGGTCTGAAGCCTTGCGACACCCTCAGCGAACCCTGAACCCCAAACCTTAAATCCCAAACCCCAAACCCTTTAAACCCCAAACCCCTAAACCCCAAACCCTAAACCCAAAACCCCAAGCCCCAAAAGCCCTAAACCTCAATCTAGCACTCCCAAAGGGTCCTAGGCACTGTTATGGGGGATGCTTTCCCAAATCGTAATAAGAATTCCTAACATAGAAACCCTACATTCTCCTATACAAGGTTTAGGGTTTAGGGTTTAAAGGGAACTCCAGAAAGTTGGAATATGGTTTCAGGGTAGGATACCTTATAATTTACCATAAAGGGTTTAGGATAATCATATTCCAACTTTCTGGCTTTTACCTTAGGATTTGGGAACTTCGGGACTGGCCTCTCGCACTGAACTTCGCTCCGTGGGCTTCGAGGACGCCTCCGTCGCGCGGAAGAAGGCCTCGTAGTCCTTTAGGTCGGTGGCCTGACCTTACGGCTGAGGTTTCGAGTTTATGTGTATATGTATATGTATATGTATAAGTATATATATATACGTATGTATGTGGGATATATATATATATATATATATACACATGTAGACATGTATGCATACAAGCGCACATGTGGTGGGTGTTTTTTGAAGGATTAGGGTTTAACGGCTACCTTCACCCTCCCAAACCAAATATGTCGAGGGAGATATTTAAGGACATCACAGTAAGGAAACACAAATGTAGGTTGTGGAAGGGGTTAAAGATCGGGCTTTTAATACTGCTGGACGGGCTCATGCGGGTAGCCTGGAGAAGGGAAGTCCATCTTTGGGACCATTCCGTGGCTCGGGCCACATTGAATACACTATGTACGGCTTCGGGTTGCGACTGGCTGAGCTGCCTCTTGCTGCTTTGGGCGTTGAGCCGTTGAGCAACACACTTTTGAAGGATCATTGGCAGTTATACATCTAGCTGAAGAGACCATGTGAATTAGTGATTGGGATTTCTTGCTTTAACAGATTGAATCATAGTTGCCTCTGCCCGAGGCACTAAACACCTAAAGGCCCTCTCAGCCCTAAAGGCCCTATAAACCCCCTACACCCTAACCGCAAAACCTTGCAAGTGCAAGCCTAAGAGGAGTCCCTCGATCCTGCAAGCTTCGCCATAAGGCAACCCGAAGATGTTCTATGTACCCTAAGTATATATACTTTAGCCCTAAAGTAGTCCCTATGTAGGCATCGGTCAAGTCATATACTATTTGGGACCCTTGGGGTAATGTAGGGGCCATAAAAAAACCGGAACAGGAACCCTCAAAAGGACTGATATCGTCCCTTTAAGGTTTCAATAAGGGGTTTATTAGCTTTGCTATGGGGCCTGAATGGTTCGAGCAGGGTTCCTTTAAATTTAAAGAGCTCTATAAAGGACACTACGTATCCCTTGTCATGTCTTCCCCCGCACAGAAAGAGAGGGCAACGGTGCAGTTTCTTGTGCGTGCTCTGGGACTCAACCCTAAACCCTACACCCTAGAACCTATAGCCCACCTTCGAGCCACTCGGAGACCAGGCGGCCGTCGATTTCCTGTCGAAGTTGCTCGTCGCGATGGGTTATGCTGCAGAACAGCCCTCAGTCAACGGCAAGTATTCCTAATGAGTCCTTCTTGTATAGGTTTGTATATGATGCATGTGTATATATACATATATACCTTCAAATACAAAAAAATATATGTATATATATATACACACATTATATATTTCCTTTATGCATTTACACTTTAAAATATGCCAAAATTCGACATACGAAGGCCTGCTCAGGCCGCTCTATGCTTCCTGCAGAGGTTCCCCCGTGTCCGCCTCAGAGCATCCATGCATACCTCTACACCTCTACTTGGAGGTTTAGGGTTTAGGGTTTAGGGTTTAGGGGTGTAAGCAGGCTAGTTATAACTATAACTCATATTAGAGGACTTATACCCCTACTTATAACTACTCATGAACCCTAAACCCAATGCCCTTATAGAACCCCTATAGATCCCTTTAAAGGGAAATACTTATAACCACCCATGCAGACCTCTACACCGCTACTGACCGGCTATACGAGAGCAGAGTCTCCGCACCAACACCCTTGGAAAGGAACCCTCAGTAGTAGAAGAAAATCTGGGTGGTTGTCAAAATTAGGGCCCCTGTTTTGGTACCCTGAATATTCGGTGTCGTATTATATTAGGGATCCAAAAAGGGACCCCAATTTTGACAACCACCCATTAGAATTTAGCAAGTAGTAACTAGTAGTAAGTGAACTAAGTAGTATGTAGTAAGTAAGTAGTAGGTACTGTATATGGCCTCTTTGAGAAGGGGACCCCCTCAGCCGCAATTTGGGAATTCGGCTCGGGGCTTCAGGGCTTGAGGGTTCAGTGTTTGAGGCTTAGGGCTGTGGGGCTCTGGGTTTCAGGTTTTTGATTACAGCATTGGGTTTAGGGTTTAGGGTTTAGGGCACCTGGGAGCACCAAACCGAAAAGAAGCGGCGAAGGTCCTCTGCCAGTGCAGCGTGTCGCGTTTTCTCGGCGACGTCTTTGGCCGTGGCCCAGGCATCCTCAAGGCACTCGCATGTCTCAGTTTTAAATCCTGCGCCCTCAGCCCCAGCATTATAATCGTGAGCAACTAAACCCTAAACCCCTAAACCCCTGAACCCCTACATACCTAGACCCCTAAATCCTAAACCCTAAACCCCTATAAGCCCTAAGAAACCCTAAACCCCTACACCCGAACCCTGTTTCGCCTCAGGGCTGGATCCACGAGCTGCGCTGCGGCGCCCCCAGCGGAGAAGCACGGTGCTACCACGGACCTCCCGAAAAGCAAAGCCGAAGAGGGGTTTAGGGGTTTTGGGGGTTTAGGGGTTTAGGGTTTAGGAGTTTAGGGTTTAGGGGTTTAGGGGTTTAGGGGTTTACGGTCCCTTTACCAATACTTTTGTTTTTGCTTTTTGCAGCATTTACTGGTGACTCCGCAAGCCCCTGACACCCCCAAACCTTACTTCTAGCCACCATCGTAGTAACCGTAGAGCAACGCCACAACAGTTCGCGGCTGCGCTCCGATTCGTTCACTGAGTTTGAATTGCATTGTGCCTGGAACCACACCGCACCGCCGCCAGACAACCTTTAAGACTTTGGTGAGGGGTTAACACACGGAGTCTATGATTATTGTCCACATATTGCTTGAAGCCAAAGGGACGACGGAGTAAGTTCTTCTACTGAGTCACCCTACGCAGTAAACCCTCAACCCCAAACCCTTTTCGAAGCCACTGATGGGAGCCACGGAGATCCCTCAAAAAAAAGCCCTTAATGGAACCACTAAACTAACCCTTAAAGGGACCTTCAGAGTTCCCCCTGAGATCCCTTAGATCACCTTTAAAAAATAGAATACCAGGATGCGAAGCCTCAAACGGTCGAAGCCATCGGGCCTGTGCGAACAGCCTGAGATAGGGCTCAGCATTTTCTAGACTGGAGATACGTGCAGATACGTAGATATGTGGGGATTGAGATACTCTCTGACAAGTTCAATTTTGCAACAGCCGCCAAGTCTTTAGGCCTAAACAATCCCAGATCGTACAGCTGCTTCGCAAGCACATCCGCTTCATGAGTTGTCTTCCACACAGACGCACAGATTTCTTACCAGTGATCCTATGATCCTGAGCGTCAAGGTCTAATTACTGCTGGGCCCATGCTAGTGCAGGAAACTTGTCCATGATCGCCGGGAACAACTTACCTGTGGTTAGCAGCTTCACTTTTTCTGTCAAGACGACCCAGCATCTCGTCATGTGCGCTGATGGGCATTTTACCAAGGCTGGCATAGTACGAGATTCCCAAGCGTCCCGTTTCCACGACCGCCCAATAATCTGCACTCTGGTATTGTGCGGCAGCGATTTCGACGAGCTTTGTTTTGAAGCACATGTGCCCCCTAACTTGGCCGCTAAAGACCAGCGAATCATGTCAGATCCGGCTTCCTCCAAAACTGTCCGAGTCTTTTTGTTGATTCGTAGGATTGCACCTGCCGCCCTGTCGTTGCCTCGATACCCATCTGCCACTGCAAGCGTTTTGTGAATGGCGTGGCGCGCACACCAATCGCGAAGAGGTTTATTGTTGTACTTCCGGCCTCGATCTGTATGAAGCCTCCTAACATCAAACCGCAGCAGTCGAGAGCCACAGGGAAATATCCAGAAATCTTTCGTCCGGGAGGAGCCAGGAAATTCCAACATGTAGTCCGGTGGAACAAGTTTTCGGGCGAACCTCAAGTCCTTAAGGTTTGTCCTGTTGGGCACCAAGACTTTTGCTACAAAACCGCGTTTATGCAAGGGCTTCTACCCTTACCCAGGGTTTAGGCCTTAGTGGCATGGACCTTTAGGTGTTATTTGGCGATCCCTGTTGTTTTACATACAAATACTTATATATGACTATTGTTTAATTATACATAAAGGCCCATGCTACATATATATATATATATATATATGTGGCATAGATCTTGTCAGCCAGCCTCGAAGAGTTCCAAGCACGAGTCGCGGCAGTTCGCCACGAGCGTCCCGAAATGCTTTCGGGACTTGTTTTGCAAGCAGAAATCCTTCCTCTGATCTCCCCAGACCCAACATCCTTCCCAAGAGATCAAAGCAACAATTTATTGAGGTATCCCCGCTCCCATACAACAAATACTAGGCCCTCCCTCATTTATACATTTAGCCCTGTTGATTCCTTAGGAGCACGGAAATGAATAGAGGAGGTGTTTCACAGTTGCATGGCATTACGGCACCCCTGGTAATGAATAAACCTCTAGTACCGGCCCCCTCTGTATACATTACCAGTACAGTATTTGTGCGATACGAAATCAATCTAGAATCCAGTATACTCACAATCATGCTAAGTGCCTCAATGGAAGTCAAGGAAGATTACTTGACATCCTGGATCCCTAAAGCTGATCGTTCTCAGGACTCATATTAGGAAATCACAGCGGGAAACCCTAACAAAGGTAGGTTATCCTATGTTATCTTCGCGGCAGGCTGAATACCCCAGCCCAAAAAAGGTTAACCTCATAAGACTCATAAATTCTCGTAGGATCATATGAACCCCAGCAGGTTAGATAAAGGATACCCACCCAGTCAGTTAGTCGTTTGAAGTCACGGGAATGCTTAATGCCCTGAAGCCCTAAACCAAACCTTGATTAAGGGGTTCAGGTTTAAGGTTTAGGGCTTGAACCACAGGGAATCTGTGCGTCTTTGGGAAAGCGGAGTTGGAGAACAAGGGCAACCACGTTCTATACAGGGACTTATTGATGAGAACCGGGTGTGGAGGCGGAGGTTATCTTTCACAGTTGTTGCAACACATTGACATAAGAAGAATCATCCCAATTATGCCGGCCCCGAATACTGTTGATGGTCAAGATCCTGCTTTACCTTAAGTACCCCAAACTATGGGAATTATGGCATATTCCTTATAAGGGTCATGCAGGAATTTGACCAACCGTATTCATGAGTCGTATTGATGGGAGGAAGCAGGATTCGGGATCTTTGGCTGGGGGAACTTCAGGCTTCGCGGAAAAGGGTTTAGGGTTGCGGATTTAGGGTTTAGCAGGTTTAAAGTTCATGTCTTCAGGGTGTTCGGGTTTGCAACATCTCATAAAACTTGCTAAAGCCTATAAGCCCCAAAACCAAACCCCAAAAACTGAATCCCATAACCCAAACCCTAAACCCACATAAACTCTGACACCCCAAACCCTAAACCCTAAAAGCCCCAACCCTTTGAAACCCTAAACTCCAAACCGATCCAAAGTTCTACACCCTTATAAAGGCCCCTGGGCCTCAGCTCAAGCTCTCCGGCTTTGCAATACTTTTGACCACTCCGGTTAGGGCTAACGGATTGCTCTGCCGCTTTACCCCGGCCTACGCCTAAGGAATCTTACGGTAACTTAGTTAGGTTATTTTTTTTAAGCGGCAGGCAATCCGTTTGGCACGTTCGTCCTGCGCTGCGTGTGCTGTTTGTGCTAGTGCCGGCGTTGCTTGTGCTGGTGCTAGTGTTGCTGCTGGTGCTGCTGCTTGTGTTGTAAACCCTAAACCGCTTGCTTCCTGAGTGGTACCCTCTTGCCCTTTTTGTTTTAGGGTTCAACCCAAGAGTATCGAAAAGGATACTTTATCATAATGGGTCTACTCAGGAACCTAGACCGCGAAGCAGTCACTCTAAGTGGATTGCCCCCTCACTGTCAATCATTTGGCCGAACTCGTCCTACACATCCAGTCAAGTCTAAAAAAAACAGAAACGTAAACACCGTAAAACTGACTGCTTCTTCTCCTGTCCGCAGAATTCGAGGGTCTCCGGGTCGAAGATGATTTCCTGATAGTGTTGCAAAAAGGAGTAAAAAGTAAAACTGACTGTTTCGTCTCCTTGTCGAAGGGCTCCGATTCCATGGTCTCCTGACAGGTTTACAAAAAAGGATGAAAAAATAAAACTGGCTGTTTCGTCTCCTTGTCACAGTGATCGTTTTCCACGTTGATGACGTCCTGATAGTTTTGCAAAAGAAAGTACAAAAGGAACACTGGCTGTTTCGCCTCCTTGTCGAAGGGCTCCGAATCCATGGTCTCCTGACAGATTTGCAAGAAAAATAAAACATAAGTTGGAAAAGTTTGTTTCGCCTTCGTCGGCGGAAAGAGCGGCTGCAAAGGCGGCGGAGGGTTTTTTTTTCAAAGGTGCGGCCAACCCTTTTTTTTCCTAGGTGCGGCCAAGGATCTGTTCAGGTTCGACACGCAGGATCCCTGTGAAGGGTTCATCGGGGACATAAAAAATTTTGCACCGCGCCACAGCGCCAGCGCTTCGACACGCAGGATCCCTGTGGAGGGTTCATCGGGGACGTAGAAAATTTGCACCGCACCACAGCGCCAGCGCTTCGACAAGCAGGATCCCTGTGAAGGGTTCATCGGGGACATACAAAATTTGCGCCGCGCCACAGCGCCAGCGCTTCGACACACAGGATCCCTGTGGAAGGTTCATCGCGAACGTAGAAAATTTGCACCGCACCACAGCGCCAGCGCTTCGACACGCAGGATCCCTGTGGAAGCTTCATCGGGGACGTTGAAAATTTGCACCGCGCCTCAGCGCCGGCGCTTCGACACGCAGTATCCCTGTGGAGGGTTCATCGGGGACCTCCCCCCTTTGCAAACCTTTTAAATCCTTCACGATTGATTGTGTTTTCTTCGCATCAAACCACCCTGACGCGTTGTTGTCTGGACTTCTCCTTCTTGTGTTTTGGCGAATACGTTTTTGTGCATCTTTCGTGCCTTTAGTGAGCGGGGAGTTTAGTCTAAAAAAAGCGGGGGGGTTGGGGGGGGCGCAGCCCCCCCATTTGTAAACCTTTTAAACCCTTCACGATTGATTGTGTTTACTTCGCATTAAACCACCCTGACGGTTTGTTGTATTTACAAACCCTTTAAACCCTTCACGACTGACTGTGTTTTCTTCGCATTAAACCACCCTGACACGTTGTTGTCTGGCTTTCTCCTTCTTCTGTGTTGGCGAATACGTTTTTGTGCATCTCTTCGTGCCAGTGAGCGGGGAGTTTAGCCAAAAAAAAGCGGGGGGGCTTGGGGGGGCGCAGCCTGCAAACCTTTTAAACCCTTCACGATTGATTGTGTTTACTTCGCATTAAACCACCCTGACGCGTTCTTGTCTGGCTTTCTTCTTCTTGTGTTTTGGCGAATACGTTTTTGTGCATTTCTTCGCGGCTTTTTAGTGAGCGGGGAGTTTAGCCTAAACAAAGCGGGGGGGTTGGGGGGGCGCAGCCACCCCCCCAGTTGCAAACCTTTTAAATCCTTCACGATTGATTGTGTTTTCCTCGCATCAAACCACCCTGACGCGTTGTTGTCTGGACTTCTTCTTCTTGTGTTTTGGCGAATACGTTTTTGTGCATCTCTTCGTGCCTTTAGTGAGCGGGGAGTTTAGTCTAAAAAAAGCGGGGGGGTTGGGGGGGGCGCAGCCCCCCCCATTTCCAAACCTTTTAAACCCTTCACGATTGATTGTGTTTACTTCGCATTCAACCACCCTGACGCTTTTTTGTATTTACAAACCCTTTAAACCCCTCACGACTGATTGTGTTGTCTTCGCATTAAACCACCCTGACGCGTTGTTGTCTGGCTTTCTCCTTCTACTGTGTTGGCGAATACGTTTTTGTGCATCTCTTCGTGCTAGTGAGCGGGGAGTTTAGTCTAAAAAAAGCGGGGGGGTTGGGGGGGGGCGCAGCCTGCAAACCATTTAAACCCTTCACGATTGATTGTGTTTACTTCGCATTAAACCACCCTGACGCGTTGTTGTCTGGCTTTCTTCTTCTTGTGCTTTGGCGAATACGTTTTTGTGCATCTCTTCGCGGCTTTTTAGTGAGCGGGAAGTTTAGCCTAAAAAAAGCGGGGGGGTTGGCTCCCCCCATTTGCAAACCTTTTAAA